GCCCGCACCTGTGGACTGGAAAACCCCAGGGTTGCACAGGCAGTATCGCTGGGCGAAGGCCTCCATCATCCGGTCAATTTTCTGGGCCTCTCCGGGGAGGCGAAAGCTCCATAGAAATTGCCTGGGTTGGGGAGGGGCCAGGAATGGATGCTAGGGCTGGCGGGAGCCTGTCCCCACTCTCAGTCCCTGTGATAGGAACTGGTCCATGAGGAATCCCAACCTTCCGGCCTCAGCAGGTGGTTCAGGTAAGGTCACGTGATCCAATCTGACCAATGGGCATTGGCCATAGGAGTGTTGTGGAGCGGTACAGAAATAGCCTCTTTCTGCTAAATTTGCTAGACAGGTCTGGGGCTTGGTTGTGGCTTGTTATCAGGTAAGAGGGTCTGCAGAGAGCAATGCTGACACAGTGGCAAATACAAGAGACAAAGAAAGTCGACTTTCTGACCACCATTTGAGCTCCTGGATATAGCTATGCCTGAAGGAGGCCATAACCTTGGACTGTGATGGTGAAGGACGCACTCGGTTCCCTAGTTTTTGTTTCTGTTTTGCTTGTTTCTGTTTTTTTCTTAAGGTTTGTCACTTGTAACTAGGAAGGCCCTGACAGGTACATTCCTGGCCTTCCAAACCCCTCCCGGTCACACTCACCTGAGGGCCTGCACCAGATTGAGGTCGGTGAACTCATGCAGATCCACAAAAGCATGGAGCACCGCCAGGTTCAGCTCTTCCCTGGAAGGACAGGACAAAGTCAATGCAGTTTGGAGAGGATGGAGCAGGAGTGGGCAGGAGGCAAGGCCCTGGGGAAGTCGTGCCCCTTCTACTGCACCACAGCTGCCCTCTGCGGAGGGTGAAGTTTCCTGCTGGGCTCCCACACAGGCCTGCCCCCACGGTGGGGGATGCTCAGAACACACTCTTGGGAGGAATATATGGCTTGGGAACCCAGGTTCAGCCGGACCTTTGTACAGTTGGGAGAAATCCTGCAAACACGTATGCTACCTACTGTCACCTCTCTTAAACGATCCCCACGCTCCCCAGGTATCCAGACACAGTCCCCATCTCCCCCAGACATCCAGAGATGCTTCCCACGCACCCCAGATCTCTGTAAATCCCTGATTCCCAGACGTCTACAGATGGCCTCCAACCATCTGATGTCCAGTCCCATGCATTCTAGGCTTCCAAATGACCCCCACAACTCCTAGGCTCCCCACAAGGGCCCAATGGTCCCCACAGCTCCCAGATGGCAACCCAGTGCCCATGCACAGCCATGGTCTACCCCTGTTCTCATGCTCCCATGACCCTTGAGAGATGCTCTCCACCCTTCTCAGATATAAATGGATGCTTCCCCACAACCCCCAGGTAATTCCAGAAGGCCCCGCATCCCCAGATGCTCTCGGGTGGCCGCAGGCTCCCCTAGCCCGTGTCCGTCCATTCCGTCACAGTCCAGTCAGAAGACGCATCTGCCAGGGCCTCTCTGTGGGGAGGCTGCAGGGCTGTTCCACCTGCGAGCTGCCGGTGTGAGGGCAGGAGCTGGGCGCAGGTAGCGGGAGGGGCGGGCCCCACAGGAGCTGAGTGGTGGTGGCCGTACCTCTCCCCCAGGTAGTCCCCGATGGCTGTCTTGTTCAGCCCCTCGCCCTTGTACAGGAAGCGGGCAATCTCCTCGGGTGTGTTCTGCAGCAGTTCGTTCTCCACCAAGAACTGGATCCCCTGGTGAGTGGGGACAAGGTCTCAGTGCTGAGAGCCAGAAAGCCACCCCCCTCACCTCCCTGGGAACCTCAGCATCCAGACCTACCCCCACCCTCAACAGACCAGGGCCAGGTTTCACTTTCAGCCTTCTCAAGGGTCTTAAATAGGATTCTTCCCAACTCATGGCCTTTGCACCTCATGGCCTACCCTCTCTGCCTTTGCCTGGTTAATTCCAGCACCAACAACAGGGTCTGGCAAGGAACAGGTGCTCAGTACATGTTCTTTTCTTTCTGAGACCTGGTCTCGCTCTACTGCACAGGTTGGAGTGCAGTGGCGTGATCACAGCTCACTGCAGCTTCGAACCGCTGGGCTCAAGGGATCCTCTCCCTTCGGCCTCCTGAGAAGCTGGGACTATAGCCATGTACCAATACACCTGGATAATTTATTTATTTTTATTTTTTCTAGAGATGAGTTATCACTATGCTGCCCACGCTGGTCTCAAATTCCTGCCTTCAAGCAATCCTCCCGCCTAGGCCTGTCAAAGCACTGGGATTACAGGCATAAGCCACGGAACCCAGCCAATAAATGTGTGTTGAATGACTGAACAGAATTCCAACTGCTTCAGGAAAGAATAATGTGACAACCTTGAGCAGACGCAGTCCCTCAAGGGCTGTGAACTCCAAGCCCTTGCTAGACTGGAGGCTTCTCTCGCTCTCTGTGCTATGAAGCCCTCTCTACTGCTGCCATATCTCACTCTGAATCCATGTCCAGGGGCTGAGCACAGGGCAGCATCTAATTCTTCTTTGGGTCCCCAGCATTGCCCTACACAGGATCAGGCTCTCAAGAGGCCTCAGAAAATGGGTGTTAAAGGCTGGGCACGGTGGCTCACGCCTGTAATCCCAGCACTTTGGGAGGCCAAGGCGGGCGGATTACGAGTTCAGGAGATCGAGACCATCCTGGTTAACTCGGTGAAACCCCGTCTCTACTAAAAAAATACAAAAAATTAGCCAGGCGTGGCGGCGGGCGCCTATAGTCCCAGCTACTCAGGAGGCTGAGGCAGGAGAATGGCGTGAACCCAAAAGGCAGAGCTTGCAGTGAGCTGAGATTGCTCCATGGCACTTCAGCCTGGGCGACAGAGTGAGACTCTGTCTCAAAAAAAAAAAAAAAAAAAAAAAAAGAACGGGTGTTAAATGAGTATGTGAACAGGCCGGACATGGTGGCTCATGCCTGTAATCCCAGCACTTTGGGAGGCTGAGGTGGGCAGATCATCTGAGGTCAGGAGTTTGAAATCAGCCTGGCCAACATGGTGAAACCCCATCTTTACTAAAAATACATAAATTAGTTGGGCATGGTGGTGGGAGTCTGTAAGCCCAGCTACTTGGGAGGCTGAGGCAGGAGAATCGCTTGAACATGGGATGGGGAGGTTACAATGAGCCGAGATCACATCACTGCACTCCAGTCTGGGTGACAGAGCAAGACTCTGTCTCACAAAAAAAAAAAAAAAAAAAGTAAGTGAACAAAAGCCATTCCTCCACCTAGTGAACACCTACTCATCCTTCAAACCCGACCTGAATGTCTCCTCCTCAAGGAAGCCCTCCCTGACTCCACCAGCCTGCCTCCTCCAGAAATCTACTACCCTGATACCTCCCTCTGTCATGGCACCTTTGCAGGAGGGAGGTCAACTCTCCTTTGTGCATATCACTTTGTCTACAGCCCTACAAGACTCGAGCTCATCTTGGGACTAGAAGTGCGCCCACACAAGTAGAAAGTGGAAGACAACCTTCAGGGCAGGGGACGAAACATAAGCGTCAGGAGGCCTGGAACACTTGGTCAGTGTTCAGAGAACAAATGGACAGCCAGTATCTGAATCCAGGGATTAGGACCAAGTCTGTCCACCTAGAATAGACCCGGAACCATCACGCTTCTGGAACCCGGAGGTGCCAGAAGCCCCTGCCCGGATGTTTGCCCAGCGGATCCCAATCCTGTGGCCCCAAGCACCTTCTTGGGGTCCATGTTGAACTTCTTCCTGCCCATTGCCATCTTCCGGTTCCGCTGCAAGGTCTTACTGCAGGAGCAGAGAGCAGGGTGGGGGATGGGGGGTCAATGCCTGGGCATTCCTGGCCTCAGTCAACCCCACGCCCCCCAGGTCACCCGCCCCAGCCCTCACCTGCCCTCATTGGCCTCCAGCCCCTCCACCTCGCTCATGGCTTCACTGAGCTCCTCCCGCAGGCGCTGAATCTCCACCAGCAGCTCCTGCTTCCGCCGCCGGATGTTCTCCAGCTCCATCCGCTCCTCCGGAGTCAGGTCTGGGGGTTCTAGGGGTCGGGGTCACGGTTTAAAAGTCAGTGCTGGGGACCATGAGCCTGAATTCCTGCAATCTGGGGGCGGACAGAGCTGGGAGAGGATGCATAAGGGCCTTCCATGTTTGCACAGAAGACTGCGCTGGGGGCCTGGATTCCTCCGTGCAGAGAAGGGCCGGGGCTCTAAACTCTTGAGTCCTGGGGGGAGAAGGGGACTTGGGGCCCGGATTCCAGAGTCTGAAGGAGAAGGGGAATAGGTGCCTGAGCTCTTAGGTGTGAGGGAAGAAAGGGTTGGGGGCCTGAGCTTCTAGGTCCATTACTTGGAAGGGGACTGAGGCCTTGGTTTTCTGACTCCATTACTGGCGAGGTAGCTGGGGACCTGGTTATCCGGACTCCTGGGTCCATGAACAGTCACTACGGCCGCGGGAGCTGATGACAGCTCGGGAGAGTTGGGAAGACGGGGCGGGACATCGAAGGCCCCCGCCCCCCAAGATTTCTCCCCTCCCCGCAACCCGAGCGCCCCTCCCCGGCCCCGGCAGACGCTGGGCTTGCCCGCCCCTCCAGCGGGAATGGTTCCGCCCCGGCCTCGCCTCCACCGCTCCATCCCGCCCCTCCCGCCGCCACCGGAAACAGGATCAGCCCAAACAATGGCCTGGAACGCCCCGCTTTCGGGCCCCGCCGGAAGCCCGTCCAGCGCCCCACAAAAGCGGCGCGACAAGTCTACTACTGGGCCGAAAGCTTCTGGGCTGCGCGCTCCAGGGGGAAACGTTCGCGGCGGAACGTTCAGGAGAAAACGCTCCAGCAGCTCCCAGCCGACCCCGCCCCTCCCCGACCTACCATAGACGCCGTCCTCCATGGCGGCTAGGAAGGCCCGCGGGGAGTCCGGGGCGGTCCCGCCGGTCGGGCCTGGATCCGCGTTGGCCCGCGGGCTCGGGTGAGCCCGCTCAAACGCCCCGGGAGCCACCGCCGCCTCCTCAGCGCCAGACCTCAGCGCTGAAAAGACTCTCCCTTGGTCGCCCAACCGCCCCTTCAGTAGGGACCGCCCCTCTTTTTGACACCGTCCAATCCACAGTGGGCGCTTTAATCCTCCCCGCCCTCGCCACCAAAGGATCGTCTTCCAGGGCCAACAGTCGTACAAAAAGCTGATGTCGGTATGTCCGGCCAGAGGTAGACGGCCCGCGGGGCCAATCGGAGTGCAGGCAGGGCAGCAGGCCCCGCCTCCGAAACAACAGAAAGCACTTGACAGGCTTGCTCTCCAATGGGAAGCCCCAGAAAGGTGTTGCGCGGAGGCGGACCTACGCGGTACAGACATCTCTGCGCCTGCTCAAAGGCCCTGGACACTTGGAGACTAGGTAAACCGAACCCCGCCTCCAATAATCCGTTGCTAGGGGGCGGTACTTGGTTAATCTTGTTGCCAGGAGGCGGGGCTAGAACTGGCTTGTTTCCGTAAGCCACACCTCCTAGCAGGCCATGCTGGCTTCTAACTGCAGAGGTTGCCATGCAACCGGGAGCAGCCTTCGGCCTCCTTTTTATTTGCTTTTCTTCTCCGTGTATTTCCCCTCTCAGTCCCTTCTTACCTCCAAACCCTTTCCTTACGACCATCTATGCCCTCCCCATCCCCCTCAGCCTCTTCGGAGTCGTGGAGTGGTGAAACGAAAGACTTCTTCGGAAGGTTTTTTCTTTTTCTTTTTTTTTGAGACAGAGTCTTGCTCTGTCGCCCAAGCTGGAGTGCAGTTGCGCGATCTCGGTTCACTGCAACCTCCGCCTCCGGGTTCAAGCGATTCTCCTGCCTCAACCTCCCGAGTAGCTGGGATTACAGGCATGCACCATCACGCCCAGCTAATTTTTGTATTTTTAATGGAGACGGGGTTTCACCATGTTGGCCAGGCTGGTTTCAAACTCCTAACCTAAAGTGATTCACCCACCTTGACCTCCCAAAGTGTTGGGATTACAGGCGTGAGCCTTCGCGCCTGGCCAAGATTTACTCTTTTTTCTAAATGCTATGCTATCTGGTATCGGTCATGGAGAATGGAAGGGGGGAAGATCAAATTTCGTGAAAGCACAGGCTCAGCCTTCCTGGTACCTTCTGCCGCTCAGACTCCTCCCTCATTTCTCCAAACTTCTCCCCTTAGCTTAGCATCCTCCTAAGATTCCTCCCTTCCCCAAGCATCCTCCCGCTAAGACAACTCCCCTTTCCTCAGCGTCCTCCCACCTCTCTGATTCCTTCTCCCATCTCAGAAGCCTTTTCTTCCTCCCTGGCTCCCCTCACGTCCCCCCTTGTCCTCTCATACTATGGCCCTTCTTTTTTTTTTTTTTTTTTTTTTAGACTGAATTTTGGTCTTTTGCCCAGCCTGGAGTGAACTGGCGTGATCTCAGCCCACTGCAACCTCCTCCCCCAAAGGTTCAAGCGATTCTCCTGCCTCAGCCTCCCAAGTAGCTGGGATTACGGGCGCCCACCACCATGCCCGGCTAATTTTTGTATTTTTAGTAAAGACAGGGTTTCGCCATGTTGGCCAGGCTGGTCTCAAACTCCTGACCTCAGGTGATCCACCTGCCTCAGCCTCCCAAAATGCTAGGATTATAGGCGAGCCACCATACCTGGCCAACCTTGCCCTTCTTAAACTCCTCCCTCCTCTGAGGCCCCTTCCCCTTCCCCAGCCTCTAGGTCTCATTATTTGTAAGGGAATGGGATTAAAGGCTTGGCTGGAATGGGGAACCCAGGCACCCCTGTAAAGAGCGAAGCCATAATGGGGGCTGAAGTGGTGTCTGGGCCTCGTCCTCATTTTCTGTCCCTGGGCTGGGCAGGTGGGGACGGATTCGGGGCCAGGACCTGGTTAAGCTGCCAGATTAGACATGGAGGCTTCTAATCCCCTCACTGACCTTTATGAGTGGCCCAGGCCCTGCCCTCCCCAGTGGAAACCCAGGCTGGGCTGCCCTGCTCCCACTCTCCTTCCAAACAAAAGCCCCTCCCTGCCCCTTCACTTCCAACTTAACATCCTTCCCCAACCTTGCATTTCCATTGCCCCCGTCCCTACCTACCCCAGATACCCTGAGCTGAGAGAGCAGCCAGCTAATTAATCCCATCCGGTTATTACATGGGGATTCCGAGGGATAAAGGGAAATGGAGAAGCTGGATGGGGGCATTTGGGTTGATGCAGCACTTGTGAAGGCTGAATGGCAATGACAGTGGCTGCCCTCGGTCCGGAATACAGGGTGGGAACACGTCCTCCTCCCTGTCACTGGCTCCCTCTGCAGCTGGCTCCCAGCCTGCGGGGCACTTAGGTAGATGGCAGCATGGGCAGGGGGCCAGGTCCGAGGACCGAGAAGCACATTCACAGACACACCCTCTAGGGCTCCCAGTTCTTTAATCTGGGGGATGGGTCTCCCCCTAAAACAGTCATTCTCCCACAATGGGAAGAACCCTAGTGTCCAGAGCTACCTTCTCCTCCCCAGATCCGCAAGTTGGGCCAGGGAAGTGACTCTGGCTGTTAGCCACAGCCCACGCCTACCCTTGCCCTGTGATTCAGACACCCGAGTTCAGAGCCAGTCTCCAAGAGTATCTTACATCCGAGCCTCTCCTGGAAGGTCGTATGATCCAGCACTGGGGAGAGAAGGGAAATCCCCAGGACTCAAATGCCCATCCCACTCTCAGTGAAGTGAGGACTCATCCTACTGGAAAGGCCCCTAAATAACTTCAAGTTCCAATATCCCATTTTTACAGATGGGGAAACTGACATGAAGAGGAGTCCAAAGTGTCACAGTAAGTTGAGGCAGTATTGGGATTTAGAGCAAAGCTTCTGGGGTCCTTGAAAAGGACCTCATTCCAATTAGCTAGTGCTCCATCTCTAAGCCTGTTGTAGGGACCAGGGGAAAAAAATAGATATCTGTATTTATATTTTATATATATATATGTAATATACATATGTATAACATCTTTAAGAAACAGACACACAGCTGGGCATGGTGGCTTATGCTTGTAATTCCAGCTCTTTGGGAGGCTGAGGCGGGTGGATCATCTGAGGTCGAGAGTTCGAGACCAACCTGGCCAACATGGCGAAACCCCGTCTCTACTAAAAGTACAAAAAGTAGCCGGGCATAGTGGCTCATGCCTGTAATCCCAGTGACTCAGGAGGCTGAGGCAGGAGAATCACTTGAAGCCGGGAGGCAGAGGTTGCAGTGAGCTGAGATCACACCATTGCACTCCAGCCTGGGTGACAGAGCAAGACTCTGTCTCAGAAAAAAAAAAAAAAAAAAAAGAAAAGAAAAAAAGAAATAGACACACATCACTAGGTGTAGGGTTCCAGAGCATTCTAGACTCACCAGCCCTGGGCCTCTCCCTTCCCTTGTCCACTAATTAGCCCTGTGCCCTACAGGGCCTCACCTGAACCTTCAACTTCTAGGTCAACCCAGAATTGTTGCTTCTCAAGTCCTGAGTCCACCTCCTGGCACTGCTAAGAAGTCCACCTGGAGGTGATGAGAACTTACAGGCTTTGGTAATGGACAACTCTGGATGCCTGGGGCCTTCATTCCTTTTGGCATTACAGAACCACAAGAAGTCATCTAGAATCATCGAGATTCTCAACTCCATTGGCCAAGCTGGAACCAGCAAAATCTCAGACATCTAGAATTGCCACTGCTTCCTTGGCTCTGTGATCAGTCTAGAGCCACAGAATCCTGATTCCCTTTGGACATTCTAGAATGGCACTTAAAAAAAACCCACCCCGTGGATCCTTTCAAAGCATTGCTTATTCTCTTGGTTGGGTGCTCTACAGCCAGAAGTTGGAGTTATCTAATATCAAGAACTCCTAATCTGTTACTTTAGTCTTTCTAAACCCACAGACTCAACAATGTTTTGTGCGTTCTAGAAACACTACTCTTTAGTTTCTGGAGTAGTTCAACTCTCCAGGTCAAACCTGTCCTAGAATCACCAGTGCTTGCCTCTGTGGTCAACCTAGACTCACACAATTTCAACTAATGAGCTTTCTGGAACCACAGATCTTTTTCTTTTTCTTTTTTTTTTTGTCTTTGGTCAATCAAGATGATCTTCCATACTTGGAAGGTTATTCCATAACCTTCCCTCCTTAGGTGGTCTAGAACAAATGATTTGCTACTCAGTTGGCTGACTTGAGAAGCAACACTCCCTTGAAGCTTAGGTAAATCCAGACCTACAAACTCTTGATCTCTGATGCTGTTCAAGAACAGCCAACGTGCTTCCCCAGAGGCAGTCTATACCATTGGTTTCTCACCCTGGTCAACAATCCAGATCCCCCCATATAGAGGGATCTAGAACCACCAGTCTTTTCCTCTTGGGTGATCCAGAACTCTGGTGAGACTCAGGGATCAGGCTCATAAAGGGGTCTCAGGAGACAGCACAGAAGCAGAGAAATTAAAATTAAGGTCCAGTATGTCCATGGTGGGTCACCAGACATGGCAGAACCTTACCACCTAGTCATTTACCCAGCAGGCCTGTTGGTCTTCAGGAACACCTGCCCCCATCCCAGGAGAGAGCCCTATCTCTCCATCTTGCTACCTTGGGGAAGGGGGCACACATGGGGAAGGCTACATCAGTTTGCATCACAGAGGCAGGGTCAGCGCCAGGGTTGGTGTAAGAACTCGGGGGCTAGCAGCCCCATCTTCTGTCTCCGCCCCATTCCCTTCCTCGGCCTCATCATCCTCATCTTCCTCCTGGCAGCAGCTCAGAGCAAGTTCATTCTCATAACAAAATGCAGTCAGAGAGCCGGGGAAACTTGATTTGAGGCTGTGGGAAGCCTGCTCTGCCCGTTCATCCAGCTCCTTAGCACTGCAGACCGGCGTCCCTGGGACCTCGTAAGTGCGGTGGAAGTGGCGATAGTCGACCTCATACTGGGAGCCACGCTGGAAGAGAACTGGCTCAAAACGATGGCCCCAGAGAAGTTCACCAGGGAGGTAGGATGAGCGACACTGTGTGGTCATGGCTGTGGCCTCAACCATCCCCTCGAGAATGACCACCAGCTCGAAGTCAGCCCTGGCCAGCTCGGCACGTCCTAGTTCATACAGAGGACTGGCAGAGTCGATCTCATGGACGATGGTGATAGGGGACACGAGGAAGATACGATCGGTGCCTCCATCAAAGCCCACATCTACATCCTGGTGGTCGAGCGGGATGTACTCACCCTCTGGGGTCACACGGGGCTGCAGGGGGAGGCAAGGAGCCAAAGACAGAGAGCAGGGAGCACAGAGACGGGCAGAGACAGAGGGAGTGAGAGAGAGGAAGAGATTCAGTGAAAGAAGGAGGTAAAGACCACAGGAGTGAAGGAGAGGGTGAGAACACGGATCCAGAGATGGGGCCGGCAACCCAGAGAGATGCAGGGGAGGGCACCCAGTGAGGAAGCCAGAGATCCAGGATGGGAGGAGGGGGGACAGAGACCCAGAGATGAAGAGAGAGGAAAGAGACTCAGGGTTTGGGGATAGAAAATGGGAAGAGGGGTGTGGCGGGGGAAGAGAAGGAGGAGAGAAGAACAGAGTGATATTGACATACAGACACAGAAATCAGCAAGACAGAGATGAAATCGAAGCGACAACGGAAAATAAGAATGACATCCAGCAGAGAATTGGAGAAGGAGGGGGAGAGAAAAATGGCTTTTAGTATGTGGCCAGAGAAAGATAAACCAGATGACAAGAAGGGAGAGTTAGGGCAACACAGGTCCAACATTCTGTACCCACCACTGCCTCAGGCTTATCCCTGGGCTCTCCCCTGAGCTATCCAAGCTGCCAGGGCAACTGCAAACCCTTCCATGTCATTCTGTATAAGCAAGCTTTGTGGGGGTGTGGGTATTTCCCCCCCACCTACCGGCTGGTTCCATAGCCACCTCCCAGGCCAAGTCACTGCCCCACAGACTTTTGCAAGAGCCAGTGTCCCTCCGATTCATGAATCCTGGCATCTCAAGGCGTCAGGCAGGAGATAGAAGTGGGAGGTGGGCACCTATCCTCCTCTTGTAACTGTCTCTGGGAGCCCCAAGTAGAGGAACCCCAGAGGCGGCTGGGAGTTGCAGCTCCCACCACCCCTGATCCTCTCCAAGTCCAGCCTCAGCCCAGAGTTCTAAAGTCACTTTACTTGGGCAATGGCAGCTGCTGGCCCAGAGTTTCTTGGGAACGGAGATGTTTGAGCAATTTGACCACAATTCTAGGAACACTAAGGACCCTTCCTCAGGGCACGGGAGGGAGCCATTACCCCAGGGGCCAATGGGAGGTGCAGTTTCGTTTCGTTGCCACCTCCCACCCTGCTCTCAGAGGGCAGGAGGCTGGTGGGACACGATGGGCCATTGAGTTGGGGAATGAATTCCCCCACAGATGCTGCAGGACCCCACACCTAGAGGCCTGGAGAACTGTGCTCCAGTGATGAACTGCACCCGTTCCAGGGCCTGCTTCTCCCGGGAGCCTCAAGTCACAGGCCCCCGTCTGTGCCACAGGGTCCAGTGGGAATTGTACACCCGAGTAATAGAACGGTCACGCAGGCCCTCCACCACCACCCCGCAAAGCTGCATCTGAGGCCACCCCATCTTTGGGCAGGTCCCTTGACCCAGAGGCTTCTGGGAATTACGGCCCAGGGCCTTGACAGGCCAGGTGTGGCCCTTTCGGGTCTACCCACAGGCAGCCCATCCTCAAGCCACAGGAAGCTCTGTATGTCCCAAGCCCAGGCCTCCAGGAAGAGCTGGTCACAGACCTCTCTTTTGGGTTTACATCCCCAACTGCCCAGTGACCCATTCGCAAGCCACACACCTGAGAGGCTGCTGGGAGTTGTAGTCCACTCCCCCTCCAGGACCGCATGCCCCTCACCCTCGGGCCTACATCTCCCCCAATCCCCCAGGGCTCGCGGAGGTCCGCACCTGCAGCAGCTGGGCACGCACGTGGGCCTCGACCAGGTGGCTGCGACGCAGGTTGCCGACGCGCCACATGAGGCAGAGGCGGTGGTCGCGCAGCGCCACGACAGCGTTCTCGCTGAAGACCAGCGTCTCGTTGCGCTTCTTGGGTTTGGCCATCTTGGCCATGACAGCACCCACGACGAAGGCGTCGAGCACGCAGCCGGCGATGCACTGCAGCACTACAGCGGCCACAGCGGCCGGGCACTCCTCGGTGACGCTGCGCACGCCGTAGCCGATGGACGTCTGTGTCTCCAGCGCGAAGAGGAAGGCGGCCAGGAAGCTGGCCACGTGTGAGAAGCAGGGCGCAGGCGGTGGCGGGGCGGCCAGGTCGCCGTGCAGCGAGGCTATGAGCCAGAAGGCCAGGCCGAAGAGCAGCCAGGAGGCGAGGAAGGAGCAGGAGAAGAGCAGGCACATCCAGCGCCAGCGCACGTCCACGCACGTGGTGAACAGGTCGCTCAGGTAGCGCGCGCCCTGGCCACCCAGGTTCACGAAGCGCACGTTGCAGTGCCCGTCCTTCTTGACGAAGCGACCGCGGCGCCGGCCCACCGGTGACTGCACCCGCGCCGGCACCCACCCGTTGCGGCACAACCCGGGCCCGGCCTCCTCTTCATCGCCCGCCCGGCTGTCTCCCGAATCCAGGGCGCCGCTGAGGCGGCGTAGGGCCCTGGCCAGGCCCATTGGGCGGAGGGACCCCCTCCACTTGGACTAGTGGGGGGCAGGCGCCCCCAACCTGCCGGGACAAGAAACCGGTAGGAACGTCAGGGGCACCAGGAATAGGTGAGCTCATCGGCCAAGCATGCTCCCCGGTGGTGCTTAGTGACCTCATCTGTCAAATAGGTGGAACTATACTTTTTTTTTTTTTTTTGGGGGGGTGGGGGGGAAGAGTCTCGCTCTGTCGCCCAAGCTGGAGTGCAGTGGCACGATCCTGGCTCACTGCAACTTCCGCGTCCCAAGTTTAAGCGATTCTCCTGTCTCAGCCTCCCGAGTAGCTGGGACTACAGGCGCACATCACCACGCCTGGGTAATTTTTTTTTTTTTTTTTTTTTTTTGAGACGTAGTCTTGCTCTGTCGCCAGGCTGCAGTGCAGTGGCGCAGTCTTAGCTCACCGCAACCTCAGCTCCCTGCAACCTCTGCTTCCCGGGTTCAAGTAATTCGCCTGCCTCAGCCTCCTATGTAACTGGGATTACAGGCCCGCGCCACTGCGCCCAGCTAAGTTTTTGTGATTTTTTTGTTGTTGTTGAGACAGAGTCTCGCTCTGTCGCCCAGGCTGGAGTGCAGTGGCCGAATCTCAGCTCACTGCAAGCTCCGCCTCCCGGGTTTACGCCATTCTCCTGCCTCAGCCTCCCAAGTAGCTGGGACTACAGGCGCCCACCACCTCGCCCAGCTAGTTTTTTGTATTTTTTTGGTAGAGACGGGGTTTCACTGTGTTAGCCAGGATGGTCTCGATCTCCTGACCTCGTGATCCGCCCGTCTCGGCCTCCCAAAGTGCTGGGATTACAGGCTTGAGCCACCGCGCCCGGCCAGTTTTTGTAATTTAGTAGAGAAGGGGTTTCACCATGTTGGCTAAGATGGTCTTGATCTCCTGACCTCGTCATTCGTCCGCTTCGGACTCCCAAAGTGCTGGGATTACAAGCATGAGCCACCGCGCCCGGCCAGCCACCTCTTTTTAGAAATGTTTTATTAATTTAATTTTTGTTTTATAGAGACAGGGGCCTCACTATGTTGCTCAGGCTGGTTTCGACCTCCTGGCCTCAAGCGATCTTCCCTCCTCAACCTCCCAAAGTGCTGGGATTACAGGCCTGAGCCACCCCACCTGGCCCATACTCCCCTTCCAAGTTGGAAGATGCAGCATAAACAGCAACGATACTATAGAAGATACTTGTATAACAACAACAGAAAATACTGTAACAATAACGATTTTTTAACAGGTGCCACAATAATTACAGCATGCATTTATACAGTGCTAAATCTATGTACTGTTCATAATTTGTGTTCTATCAATTATACTGTTTATACAGTTTGGAGGTTGTTGTAAGCACTTTACATGAATTTACATATTTGAGCCTCAGAGCAAGCCTATGAGGCAGACATCATTATCCCCATTTTCTAGATGAGGAAACTGAAGCACAGAAAGTTTAAGTAACTTCCCCAAGACCACAGCTAAGTAAACTGGGATTTAAACGCTAGCCATCCAGCTCCAGAGTCCATGCTCCTAACTGTAAGGTATAACTGGTTCTCAGCATGGAGAGATGCCTCAGGGCTCTGAGGTTGACTGTGGTTGAAAAACAGGCTCGCAAAGTAACAAAAGGAAAAAATTACATCAATTGAATTGCATCAGAACTAAATAACTTTTTTTTTTGAGACGGACTCTCACTTTGTCACCCAGACTGGAGTGCAGTAGCGCGATCTTGGCTCGCTGCAATCTCTGTCTCCTGGGTTCTCCTGCCTCAGCCTCCCGATTACAGGCACGCACCACCACGCCTGGCTAATTTTTGTATTTTTAGTAGAGATGGGGTTTCACCATGTTGGCCAGGCTGGTCTTGAACTCCTGACCTCAAGTGATCCTCCCACCTTGGCTTTCTAAAGTACTGGGATTACAGGTGTGAGCCACTGCACCTGGCCAGAACTAAAAAACTTTTGTGCCCCCAAAGACACTGTCAAGAAAGTGAAGAGAGGCCAGGTGAGGTGGTACACACCTGTATCCTAGCGCTTTGAGAGGCTGAGGCAGGAGGATCACTTGAGCCCAGGAGTTCATGACCAGCCTGGACAACATAGCAAGGGGCCTGCTCTACAAAAAATTAAAAATTAGCCAGATGTGGTAATGCAAACCTGTAGTCCTAGTTACTTGGAAGGCTGAGGTGGGAGGATGGCTTAAACCCGGGAGTTGGAGGCTGCAGTGAGCTATGATTGCACCACTGCACTCCAGCCTGGGCGACAGAGCGAGACTGTGTCTCAAAAAAATTTTTTAAGAAAGGGAAAAGACAACCCACGAATGGGAGAAGATACTGTAGTTGCAAATCATATACCTGATGAGGAACTTGTATCTAGCCTATATAAAGAGCCCTTGCAACTCAATAATGAAAAGATAAATAACCACCCCCCGCCAACCTTTTTTTGTTTCAGACAGAGTCTCAGTCGCCCAGGCTGGAGTGCAGCGGTGCAATCTCAGCTCCCTGCAACCTCTGCCTCCCGGGTTCAAGAGATTCTCTTGCCTCAGCCTCCTGAGTATCTGGAATTACAGCTCACGCCACCATCCCAACTAATTTTTGTATTTTTAGTAGAGACAGGGTTTCACCATGTTGGCTGGTGCCCAGCCCAAATAACCCAATTTAAAAGTGGGCAAAGGGGGCCAGGCGCAGCAGCTCGCGCCTGTAATCCTAGCACTTTGGGAGGCCGAGGAAGCTGGATCACTTGAGCTCAGGAGTTTGAGACCAGCCTGGCCAACATGGCAAAATCCCATCTCTATTAAAAATCCAAAAATTAGCCGGGCCTGGTGGTGCACATCTGTAGTCCCAGCTACTCCGGAGGCTGAGGCACAAAAAAAGTGGGCAAAGGATCTGTATAGACATTTCTCCAAAGAAGGCATACAAATGGCTAATAAACATATGAAAAGATGCTCAACATCATCAGCCATCAGAGAAATGCAAATCAAAACCACAGAGGAATACCATTTTGCACCCACTCAGAATGGCTGTAATAAAAAAAACAAGTGTTGGCAAGAATGTGGAGAAATTGGCACCCTCATACACTGCTGGGGGGAATGAAAACTTGCAGCTGCTGTAGGAAGCAGTCTGGCAGTTACTTAAATGGTTAAACATAGAATTACCACATCACCCAGCAATTCCACTCATACTTATGTACCCAAGAGAAATGAAAACAGATGCAAAAACTTGTACACAAATGTTCACAGCAGCATTACTCATAATAGCCAAAAGGTGGAAACCCAAGTATCAACCAACTAATGAATAAATAAAATGTGGCATATTCATCCAATGAATAGTATTTTACAATAAAGACAAATGAAGTATTGATAGATGCAACAACATGGATAAACCATGAAAACATTATGCTATCCGGGGGCGGTGGCTGGCACCTGTAATTCCAGGACTTTGGGAGGCCAAGGTGGGCAGATCACTTGAGGTCAGGAGTTTGAGACCAGCCTCGGCAACATGGTGAAACCCCGTATCCACTAAAAATACAAAAATTAGCCGGGTGTGGTGATTATAGGCACATGCCCCTGTAATGCCAGCTACTCGGGAGGCTGAGGCAGGAGAATCACTTGAACCTGGGAGACAGAGGTTGCAGTGAGCCAAGATCACGCAACTGTACTCCAGCTTGGGCGACAAAGCAAGATTCCGTTTCAAAAAAAAAAAAAAAAAAAATTAATTGTGATGGCTGCACAATTGTGAATATATGAAAAGCCACTGAATTATACCCTGTAATGAGTGTATGATATGTGAATTAGATTTCAATGAAGCTATTATAAAATAAATGAAATGGGCTCATGCCTGACCCTCTGATCTTTGGCAACTCCTTCTGAGTCTCAGTTTCCTCAATTCTAAGGTGGGGAAATTGGGACTTCTTAAAAGACCAGGAAAGGCCTTCTTATCATACGGATAAGGGCCCAATCTTGGCTTAGTTGCTCACCCACCATGTCCCCTGGGATCTCTGGCTTCCTTTTCCAGAGACTCAGTTTGCTCAGCCATATTACTAAGTGTGTGACTGACGACAGGCCACATCCTTTCCTGAGCCTCAGCTCTCTCATCTGTGAAAGGCAGGAGGTCTGGGGGAGCTAGGCATGGTGGCTCCCAACCTGTGATCCCAGCACTTTGGGAGGCCAAGGTGGGCAGACCACTTGAGGTCAGGACTTCGAGACCAGCCTGGCCAGTATGGTGAAACCCCGTCTCCACTAAAAATACAAAAATTAGCCGGGCGTGGTGGCGCATGCCTATAATCCCAGCTACTCAGGAGGCTGAGGTGGGAGAATCACTTGAACTCAGGAGGTGGAGGTTGCAGTGAGCTGAGATTGCACCAGTGCACTCCAGCTTGGGCAACAAAGCAAAACTTCATCTCAAAAAAAAAAAAATAATAATTGTGATGGCTGCACAATTGTGAATATACTAAAAGCCATTGAACTGTACACCGTAATGAGTGTATGATATGCAATGTGAATTAGATTTCAATGAAGCTATTGTAAAATAAATGAAATGGGCTCATGCCTGACCCTCTGATCTTTGGCAACTCCTTCTGAGTCTCGGTTTCCTCAATTCTAAGGTGGGGAAATTGGGACTTCTTAAAAGACCAGGAAGGGCCTTCTGGGTAAGGGCCCGATCCTGGCTTAGTTGCTCACCTACCATGTCCCCTGGGATCCCTGGCTTCCTTTTCCAGAGACTCAGTTTGCTCAGCCATTTACTAGGTGTGTGACTGACAACAGGTCACATCCTTTCCTGAGCCTCAGCTCTCTCATCTGTGAAAGGCAGGAGGCCTGGGGGAGCTGGGCATGGTGGCTCCCACCTGTGATCCCAGCACTTTGGGAGGCCAAGGTGGGAAGATTGTTTGAAACCGGGACTCTGAAACCAGCTTGGGGAACACAGCAAGACCCTATCTTAGAAACAAAAATTATCCAGCCATGGTGATGCAGCTACTCTGAAGGCTGAGGTAGGGGATCACTTGAACCCAGAGTTCAAGGCTGTAGTGAGCTATGATGGTACCACTGCACTGCAGCCTGGGCAACAGAGTGAGACCCCATCTCTTTAAAAAAAAAAACAGAGGGCAGATGCAGTGCCTCACACCTGTAATCCTAGTACTTTGGGAGTCCAACTCAGGAGGAACGCGTGAGGCCAGGGGTTTGAGAACCAGCCTGGGGAAGACAGCGAAACCCTGTCTCTAAAAAATAAATAAATAGGCCGGGCGCGGTGGCTCAAGCCTGTAATCCCAGCACTTTGGGAGGCCAAGGCGGGTGGATCACGAGGTCAGGAGATCGAGACTATCCTGGCTAACATGGTGAAACCCCGTCTCTACTAAAAATACAAAAAAAAAAAAAACTAGCCGGGCGTGGTGGCGGGCGCCTGTAGTTCCAGCTACTTGGGAGGCTGAGGCGGGAGAATGGCGTGAACCCGGGAGGCGGAGCTTGCAGTGAGCCGAGATCACGCCACTGCACTCCAGCCTGGGAGACACAGCGAGACTCCGTCTCAAAAAA